ATCTTCCAGATTACAAAGGCTGGCTTCAATATGAACAGTGGTAGATTGTTTTCACTTGTCACTATTCTACTGATAAGAAGGCACATTTAAAATAACAACCTGAAGAATTACAAGTTTGAAAAACATTCCTTGCATTGAAAGTGCTGAAGGTGTGGTTTTTTTTGCTAAATCATTGTTTAAGTCGAATATGTGGATGGTTTCAGCAACTAATTACATAGCGGTTTGGAGGGAAGCTTATTAAAGAGAGTATGGGGTGTAGGTTTAAACAAAATTAGTGCTTACATTATGCCAAAGCCATTGATATTTCCACTGTGCTTATTATATTCTTACAAAAATTAAGAATACATTCCATCAGCATCCAGCAGATGTCAGTGCTGTCCTGTTTTATGTGGACTCTTTTCTGATAACTAATACGATGATGCTTCGAATTTGACTCCTAAATGGAATGTCTGGTTTGTAGACCTAAGATTTTGTCAATTTCCTTTAATAATTGTGAAAATATTCACATTGTGAAATAAAATGTTCAAAACTCTTTTGGTCAACCTTGCCCTGAGAGTTATTGATCAAATTTATCATTTAGATCTAGGGCAAGACACTCAACTGAATAAAAAGAAGCCTGATCACAAATGACTCTTATGTAAATGAATTTAACACAACAAGAAGCATAATTTGCATCAGCATCATGAAACCTGCCCTGTAACATATCCTGGACTCAGAATCTAAAAGGGACCTGTCTTAATGAAACAAACATTGGGTGATGGTGCCAAACGTCAAACAAATCATTGCTCTCCTCCCCAATTCTATTTAAAGTGTCACCCTCAAACATCAATACGATGACTGAAGATGCAAGGAATGCTGATAAAGATTTCAGTAGTAGTGTAAATTAGCAGTTAATATATTGCAGAGGTGTTAGTCAGTGATCTTGTTCTGGAAGGAATGTGAAGTTTGAAGCTCACTCTGGGTGTCAAACAGAAGGGAAGAGCTTTGTGCGTGTACACATACACGAGAGTGGACAGGGAATAGGGTTTGTCTCAAAAGATTGTGCAGGGTCTTACTCATATAGAATTGGAGTACCTTTCGGCCTATCTTCAATTTATTATCAGATAGGCAGCACGGCATCTTTTAGAAGTCTTTGCATTGTCCAGGAAGGTGGAAGAGAAAACTAACTGGTGTGAAAGCAGAGAAAAATATACCTATATGGGTGTGTTTGGTTGCTGTCTACATGGTTCTTGAATTAAATATTATACATCCTTTAATTTCACAAACATGAAGTTTATTTATGTCAGTGCCAAACACAGCGCTGTCCTTTCTTAAAAGTCTTTTGGTCCAAGAAAGCAGGAAAAATATACATCATTGTCCACATCATGGTGGCATCGAGTGACTTGCTAATGTGTTTAATAATAATTCCAGTGTTTACATTTTAAATAAACTAAAAGCCTTTGCTGCATAATGTCATGTTAACTTTGTTGCATTTGAAATGTAAAAATGTAATAATCAAAACATGTAACCAATAAACATCAGCAACATCTTGAATTTGTTCATCGTCTGAATTCTTTGTACCTTGAGAAAGATCTAGCAACAGTTTGTCTTCTTGTGAGACAGATTTCACTTCATGTTTGGGTGTGGTGTATAATAACAGGTTGAACAATGTCACTATAACTTAAGAAGCACAACATAATAGTTAAAACTGTACATTTTGTTCCAACCCTATAACGAACTGGAATTATTTGTGATATACGAAATGTATTTTCTGTATTTTAAAGGTTCCACCTTGGTTTGTCAATAAATAAAAAAAATGTTAAAAGCAAATAGCAACACAAACCAATTATTTTGATTTTACATAAACTTGTGCTTCAGATCAATAAAAACAAAAAGTCTCATCTACAACATTGCAGTTAGGACATTGGAGAATTAGGCAATCTCTGCATGAATTGTTATGGTAAGGGACAAGTACTATCAGGTCATGTTTAGGTTTTTGTTTGTGGTCCCTTGCTCTGTGTAAATTGTCTGATATTTTCCTAAACCATAACACTAAAACTCCACAAGTCACCTACAAGTATTAAATTGGCTTGGCAGACAGCACTCTTACTTGAACGCAAGCTTATGAGTTTAATCCTTAACTTTAAAGCCAAAACATTTAATGTAGAACAAAACCTTTGTGCAGTATCTCAGAGGCTGTGCTTTTAGAATGGAATGTTTAAGTGAGGTTTTATCCTTTCAGCAAGAAATAAAAAAGACCCAATATGAAATTCACAGAGCAGATGATTGTCCCAGAATGCTAGCCAATGTATGTTTTTCAATCAACATGACAAAACAAAAGCAAACTGGTGATTCATCTCATCTACTTTATAAGGGTTTGCAAATTGGCTAATACATCTGCCTCAAGGGAGTGCTGATTTCACTTCAGCAGCTGAAAGTATATTGGAATATTATATTATAGTTAAAAATCCGTGATCTCTCTTATGTGGTAAAAGAAAAAGAAACTCATTATTCTGATATGATATTTATATGCCCATCGCTACACTTAACAGGAAATGTGGGTGTCCTTTCAAGTGATCGCAACTGTTTGCAACAAGGTGCAAATAGGCAGTAAGTCTTGTCCTATTGATTTACCACATCATAGAACTCATACCAGGAAGTTTTTTTTTAAAACAAAGATATGAGAAGTAAAAGAGCCAGTTAAAAACAGAGATAGTAAGAATTGCTGATGTTGGAGTCTGAGATAACACAGCGTGGAGCTGGACGAACACAGCAGGACAGGCAGCATCAGACGAGCAGGAAAGCTGACGTTTCGGGTTGGGACCCTTCTTCAGAAATGTCACCCTCAAGTAATCCAGAGGCCTGGAGTTATCTATTTTGAGTCATACTGCACCTAGCAAGTTCAGTTAATTAAATGAAGGTGGAATGAAAGAAAAAAAAACTTATATCCATCATAGTGACCATGTAACTGTTGGATTGTTGTGTAAGCCCATCAGTTTCCTAGTGTCCTTCAGGTGAAGAAATCTGCTATCCTTACTTGTGGTTGATATTTAACTGCCCTTTGAGTAGCTACCAAGCTATCAAGTTGTATTCAAGAAAATGGATCATGGACCCTTTACAATGGCAGTTGGGAGTGGGAAATAAACATTGGCCTCACCAACAATTCCTGTATCCTGTGAATTAATAAATATGCCATTAGGGCACAGAATAAACTTCTGAGCAAAATACTAGCAGCAAGTATTCTGGGATCATTGAAGCAACATTTAGGTTTAGTAATCTCACTGTGGAAAAATTGTAAAGCGTTTCTAGATGTTTGAAAGAAGGATTGACCTGACCTGTAAAAATGAAAGAACTGTGGATGTTGTAAATCAGAAACAAAAACAAAGTTGCTGGAAAAGCTCAGTAGGTCTGGCAGCACCTGTGAAAAGAAATCAGAGTTAACGTCTCAGCTCTGGTAACACTTCCTCGGAACGTTCTGAGGAAGGGTCAGCGGACCTGAAACCTTAACTCTGATTTCTCTGAGATAACAAGGTGTAGAACTGGATGAACACAGCAGGCCAAGCAGCATCATAGGAGCAGGAAAGCTGAAGTTTCGGACCTAGACCCTTCATCAGAAATGGGGGAGGGGAAGGGGGTTCTGAAATAAATAGGGAGAGAGGGGGAGGCGGATAGAAGATGGATCGAGGAAAGGATAAGTGGAGAGGGGACAGACAGGTCAAAGAGGCGGGGATGAAGCCAGTAAAGGTGAGTGTAGGTGGGGAGGTAGGGAGGAGATAGGTCAGTCCAGGGAGGACGGACAGGTCAAGGGGGTGGGATGAGGTTAGTAGGTAGGAGATAGGGATGGGGCTTGAGGTGGGAGGAAGGACAGGTTAGGGAGGCAGGGACAAGCTGGGCTGGTTTTGGGATGTGGTAGGGGGAGGGGAGATTTTGAAGCTTGTAAAATCCACATTGATACCATTGGGCTGCAGGGTTCCCAAGTGAAATATGAGTTGCTGTTCCTGCAACCTTCAGGTGGCATCGTTGTGGCACTGCAGGAGGCCCAGGATGGACATGTTGTCTGAGGAATGGGAGGGGGAGTTGAAATGGTTCGCGACTGGGAGGTGCAGTTGTTTAGTGCGAACCGAGCGTAGGTGTTCTGCAAAGCGGTCCCAAGCCTCCGCTTGGTTTCCCCGATGTAGAGGAGGCCACAACGGGTACAGTGGATGCAGTATACCACATTAGCAGATGTGCAGGTGAACATCTGCTTGATATGGAAAGTCTTCTTGGGGCCTGGGATGGGGGTGAGGGAGGAGGTGTGGGGGCAGGTGTAGCACTTCCTGCGGTTGCTATCTCTGATTTCTCTGTTCAGATGCTGCCAGACCTGTTGACCTTACCTGTAACTTTCTTGTTATTTACAGATGGATAGTTTACACGCTACAATAGCTCCCCAAAAGTGCTTTTCTCTTTGGGAGCAGCAGGGTTTGATAAAATTAACCATTTGAATGCATTATGAGAGAATGGCAACTTATACACCAATTTGACATGATCAGATACATCATAAAGTTGAGCCCTGTGCAAGATTATTTTTAAATAGTCATTGGAACTTCATAATGCTAAAGAGAAAATACCTTGAAAGAACGATGCAACTCATCCAACGAACTTTCCTCTTCAGATCTGAAGAAGAGTCATGCCAGACTCAAAATATTAAGTCTGTTTGTCTCTCTCCAAAAGATTCTGCCGGACCTACCGAATTTTTCCAGCATTCTCTATGTTTATTTCCTAAATAATGCCAGAAACATTCAGTAAGTGAACCAACATAACTGCCCAAACACCACTAATGAAAATGATAACTAGCCTCCAAAGCTCAATTGAGGAAAGGGTTTTAAGAATATTTGAGGCAGCTGTCTGACATTTGATCACTAGCTTTAATCTGGACCAATTAACCTTCATTTCAGAGCTCCTGAAAAGGATCAGTTATCTGTTCCTTGGTTGACTATTATCCACAATACAATTTAAATAGTAGATCCTTGTTTTGCCAATTATTGGAGTGCAGTTGAGAGACAACTGTGTTCCCCATCCCCCTGGCTCCTCAAGTGCATAAATAACATCTCTTTGGGGTATTCCTTTTAGTTTGAGAGGTAGAGGAGAATGGAGGTTGCAGGCAAGTTATTGAAACAAGTTCCCTGTGAGTATCCAGGCTGTTTGGCCAAATTCACCAGAACTTGGAAGCTGGAGGAACACCTTAGTGTACACACTGGGCAGGTGAGGTCTCTGTTGAAGGAGAATGTCTTTTGAAGTTATCCTTTAATTTTCTTTCTAACTTCTGAATACTTCTCCTTGTTAGAAGCCTTACAAGTGTGATGAGGGGGAATGTCAAAAGACTTTTACTCGAAAGTCTCACCTACAGAGACATCTATGCCAACACCTGGGACAGAAGAGATTTGGGTGAGTACTGTTTGGGGACTGAGTGTGACCATGTTGGTTTGTTTGGGAGTTGGGGGTGTAACTATCTCTCAGGATAGGCATTTCTTTGAACCTATTTAAGTTCCTTGGTTGACTAGCCAAACTAGTATCCACAACACTCTTTTTAAAAAAAACTTCAATCCAGTTTGTCACCCACATACACCCTGAGAAAATAAACCAGGAAATGAAGTAAATATTTGATTTCAAATTCCAAGTCAGTAATAAAGTGAAATCCAGCAAACAAGTATTGGAGAAACTCTGCAGTATTTATGGTGTGAGAAATTGTTGATGCTTTGTGTGAAGTATTTTCACTCTGAACCATTCTATTTTCTTTCCATTGATTCAGCCAGACCTGAGTTTCTTCAACATTTTCTTGTTTGAGATCTCCAACATTCACAGCTGTGTTTCTGTTAAAGTAAAATACTTGTTTTTGAGCATGCACTGTCATCTATTGATAACACCTATTAGGCAGCAGTACCCATGAGTTAAATGGTTATGGGTGGACTCCTTAGATTTGGTTGCCACTAGACGGAACCATTTACTGTTATGTTTTAAGGCAGCTGCCTTTGGTTTGGGAAAAGTGGCTTTGTAACTTGAAGTAACTTTGGCATTCTAACTGTCAGCTATGAATGGCTCAATTACACTTCCTACAGTGAACAATGCAAATTAAATTGACCACTTAAGATTCTATAAATGTTCTCCATGCTACAATGTTAGCAATGAAATAAGTTGCAAGTGGCTTGTTCTAAAACTGCTTTTTGTATGCTCAAACTGGAGGTAATGAGAAGCTTTTGCTTAAAGGACCTTGTATTAATAAAAAACCTTTCATGACTTTAGACTGTCACATGTTTGTAACACAAACAGACAACTGTGATTGGTTCCTCTGCTTTTGTTTTATCCTATCAACACATTATCTCTCTTCCAAACCAAGCTATTTAGCAGCTTACTATCACTTTAATGCTTTTTCTAAACACAAAAAGCATCGGGCATCTTGTGTAGGGCAAGATCCCACATTCAGTTGTGGTGAGAAATATTGGCAAGACAGATCCCCAATTCTGTTGCCCTAACTGCACATCTCATTAAGACATTTGATATGGCTTAAATCAAAGTGTAATTGGACAAATTGAGATTGAGGTTTTTATGTAAACTAGCCCCTACAAGTGTTTGAATCACCTGGAAAATATTTTTGCAGATGTAAAGCTGAGGGCTGCACAGAAGCGTTTGTTAGCAATGAACGTTTAAAGAAACACATGATGTATCAACATGGAAACAAAGAACCCTACAAGGCAAGTTGAGGAATGGGCAGTAGATAACATGGTTTTAAATGGGTAGCTTTTGTCAAAAATGCATTTACCATGTAATTATATCATTGAGATTTTTGAGTTTTTTGATCCAAACAAGGACTAACTGAAATGGGAGCTTACTTTTTCTGTGTGCTACTGCACTTGTTTGAAATTGATGATTACACTTTTTTAATGGGAGGTTAGCTTGGGATTGACATGATTTCAATTTTTTGGGGTGGGTGGAGGAAGAAAAGATAACAAACTACACCTAGTGCTTAGCTTGAGCAATGTAATATCTGCCTTCATTTAACCTTTATCCTTGCCTGTAAAACCCATCAAATCATAGAATCCTGACTGGAAAAATTTGGCCCATTGGTCCACACTAACCCTCAAAAGCATCTTACACTGACACCAAGCCCCATCCCACCCCACCCTTTTGCTGTACCCTGCATTTCCTATGGCCAATCCATCTAATCTGCTCATCTTTGGACTATGGGAGGAAACTGGAGTGTCTGACAGAAACAGACTGTGCAAACTCTGGTCTCCCAAGGCTGGAATTAAACTGGTGTCCCTGATGTTGAGGTAGTGGTGCTAACTAATCACCTTGTGATCTAGTTGAGCATGCCTAATCAGTAATGTACTGGATATTTGGCAGGATTGAATGTCACTGACAAAGTCGTGGACCCATTTTTGGTGCCACTTGCATATCTTAGATCATCCTTCTCCCCATCTTCACACCACCACCCCCCTGCCTGCTTACAGGTATATATTGCACAGAAGTTGTTCTGGTCAAAGGACATGAAACAACTACAGCACTAGACCAGAGAATACCTGTGATGGTAACCTCTATCTGGTTGAAACTGCTGGTGGGATGCATGGCTGATGAGTGCCTTCCCTTGTCTTCCTGTGATGTGCCACTGGTCCCCTTTATTGTGAAGAGGGACCTTTTTAAGCACCACTTCTAAACTCTCCTTTCATGCTTGCTTGCTTCCACCTTTACTCTGCAGTACATGTTGGACAACGTTACTCAGCAACAGCAAGCTTCCCAGTGAGAATTTGGGGATTCTTTAGGAGCTGCAATTAAAAATGGATGCAACTTCCTGTCTTTAAGTGTCTAGGATGAGTTGATTTCAAAATTTTTAATCATGGACTACACCCTCAGAGGCAAATAAAGGACTGAAGCTATGTTTGTGCTCTTTCTCGTTTGAAGTGTTCTTCTGAAGCTTGTGGGAAAACATTCAAGAAAAGTCGTGACTTGAAAATCCATAGCTATGAGCACTTCAAAGAGCCTGCTTTTGAGTGAGTGAAATCTGCTTGGGTGCTCTTCCACATGTTCAGCCTCTTTGTAAAAAGGCAGAATTGCAAACCTTAAATGTTGATGGAAACTTTGGGTGTGGTAGTTGAATATTCAGCACTTAGTTGGCTGATTATAACTCACTCCATTTATTGGAAATGGCACTCCTTTTGAGCTGCTGTCAAAGGCTAATAATGGCACTTGGAAGCTCTGCAACTGTAATTTGCAGAAGCTACCAGTTCCAACAAGTGAAGAGCTAGTTGAGCTACTGATTACTTATTTTTTAATGCTTGACATACATTTTGACATGCTCTGGAAGCAGAGTGCCTTCAAACAAGATGAAGTGAACTGGAGGCCCCCAGGAAATGTAGAACTATTGTAGGTCAGGTGACATTCTAGTGAGAAATGGTTAGATGTTGAGGTCTGCAACCTTGGATTGGAAAGGTTGACTTTGCTTCAGTATTGTTAGACCTGATTATTTCATTTTCAATTCAGATTTCCTTTTAATCTTTGCCTTTTCAAAGGCAGACACCTTGTATTCCTGTTCTAAGTATTGTCAAAACTGAGGCATAGTGCCTAAAACCAGATTGTTTCAAATTGTATAATGCCTTGCTGACCTTGCCTGTGATCAGTGAACAAATTTTGACTAAATAACACTTGTCCAATTATTTTCTGCACTAGGTGCCAGAAGGAGGGGTGCGAAATGAAATTTAAGACACCAAATGAACGCAAAGTGCATGAAAGAAAACATGATGGTAAAGGGAGATAATAAAATTCAACATGCATTTGATTCTGTGTTCGTACTCTTGCTAGTTTTCATCTATAACCTCTTCAGTTTCCATACAGCTTGCCACTTTGTGCTTGTTTCTGTTGCTAATTGTCATTTTGGAATCCTGGCTGTCATTTCAACTCTTTGCTTGGCACAGTCAACAAACATGGCCTTTAATCAAAGGTTCATTTTGTTATGCTGCTGAACCCTGGGACTAGACCTAAACCTGCAACTGAATTTGAATATTGTCACCCATTTGAGAAACAGCTGATGCTCTTATCATTTGTTCCCAGCCATGAGGTTTTCAAGCCACCCCTTTCAGAAGTTGAACCTTTTTTAAAAAAACAAAAATCCCCAAGGTTTTTGTGCATTCCGTTGCTTTAAAAGATATTCTTGTTCTCTTCCCCCTCCCACACCCAGGCTATCCTTGCAGTTCTGAAGTATGTCAGTTTGTTGCAACCACATGGACACAACTACAAAAGCATCTGAAAATTCATCCAAGTAAGAGATCCAGTGACTGAGGTCTTATTGCTCAAAGAACCATGCATGAAGGAAATTACCAGTGAGGTGGAATCAGTTGATACTTTGCTGACCAGGCTTTTGTCCTAAAATTTCTCCATGAATTGAGATTGGAAAGTTGGCTTGCATAATCAGAATTGTGTGCAATAGATCTTGATTCTTGTTTTACTAATTATCAAATCATTTCCTTGCCAGAGTAATTCTGTCAGTTTACTGAAAGCAAATAAAATGCTTTTAAGTTGTAAAGCCAGTATTACAGCAAACAAAGTAGTTTCAGCAGTTTGCCTATAGGCACTGCTGGGTGAAATTGCAAAATAGTATGCTCACAGAATTTACCATTAAGGGAGTGCTCTGAAGGCACCCACAACATGCTAACTTGGATTAGTTTCCTTGCAGTCAACTTCACATTTCTTCCTCTGGCTTGTATAAACATGTATTTGGTTTTGCTCAATTTGCATTTAGTCTAACCTCCTGTATGAAAATCTTGTTGACTTGAAAAATGCACACTGGTCAAAACCTGTACCAATGAATGGGAAAACCAACTGTAGCACTACTGCTCTATTGCTGAAATTGACTAACTTGACAAACCTCTTAAATTTCTGAACTCCAGGGTGCAGTCAATTTGTGATCATTACTGGGCTATCATAGATTTGGAAGCTCTACTGCACTATTGGCCCTCAGATTAGTCTGAGCCACTGTAGGCACAAATGCTATTGCATGGAGTCTGAATGGCAAGCAATCATTTCAGTGACTTAATTCACTTGCAATTATTTCTCTTGATTTGGGGCATGGGAGAAGTGAACATCAATTTTAGTATATGCCTTCACAAGTGCACTTAAAATTGCTTGCTGCCTATAAAGTGTCCAGTGTTTAAGAATAGTCTTAAAGACAAGTGCTGCTTCAATAGAAAATGAAGTTTCACAATTTTGAAACAGTGCCTTGAATAGGGTATTTGGACAAGCCAAGCAATCTTCAGGGAAAGTTTTAGTAGGTTATGCTAATTGTACTCCAGAATCTAACATGTCCGTTTCAGCTAGATGTGGTAGCAAAATAGGTGCAAATAAAATCCAAGTCACTTGAATGTTACCTTTCAATTCCTGTCTTGATTGCACCTTGGAGTGCAAATGGATCAGAATGTTGGTCTGGGTAAAGGGAGATGACTATCAGCTACCCAGTCAAGGAATATTTTGGGTAGATTGTGAAACGCTGCACTAGGCTACTCAGTTGGCCAATCTCTCCACCCATCTCAATCCTTGACTGTTTTGGGATACACCTGAGCAAAGGTCAGGTGTCTGAGGCATACTCTTGATCTAGAACACAGATCCTCAGCCACCTCCAAGGAAGCCCTGAATCAGGTCAGGGTTTGGTGAAATTACCAGGGTCATTGCTGTGAAATAAACTGAGCTGTATATGAATTTAACCTTGGGGTGGAGGCTGGAGGATGGAGGAAATCACTAATATTTAAAGTACATGGTTCAGTGCCAATGTAGGCTGGAGGAAACAGTCCAGACCTTGTGTAAACCTGATGGTAAAATGTGTAATACTTTCAAAAGACCTGGCTCCAGTAACATCTGTCATGGTATCAATTGTTAAAGTTCAGGTGGCCATTCAGCCCATGCCTGCACCAGTTTTATCAGTGTCAATATCCTGCCTTGCATCATCCCAGCACCATTTTCCATCCAAATGATCATCCAATGCAATCTTCAACATCTTACTTGAACCTGGCTCCTCATTTCCAGGCAATGCCTTCTGGACCTTAACTAGACATGAAATTTTGTCCCATCAGCCTTTGCATGTCAAGTTTATGTCCTGCTTCCCCCTATCTGCTGACCCACTAGTTCTACAAAATTATCAAATTTTCCTTAAGTGCCTACTTCCATCTATTCTCAACTGAAGTTTCTCATTCCTGGAACCAGTCTTGTAAACTGCTTCTGCACCCTAGCACATTAACATCTCGTGGTGCCCACAACTGTGTACAGTATTCTAGCTGAGGTCTAGCAAGTATCTTAAAATTAAACTTCACCTTGGTCTTGCACTCTCTCCTATTAATAAAGCCTTTGTAATTCATCTCACCATCTCAAAGACTGATGCCACTGAGCTGTAGGAATGTTCAATTATTATTTTGAATAGCTATTCAATGATTTAGTTTGAACTGGCAATAGAAGTTGGTATTGATTTTGTTTCCTGCATTCTGCCTACAGTTTCAGTTGAACATTGCTGTGCTAATTGTGAAAAGAAATTCAAAAGCCTCAGTGCCTTGCGTAGACACAAACTGATCCATCGGGCCCAAGGTCCTGGGCGTACATGTCCAATGGAGAACTGTGACCTAAATTTCACAACTGCCTTTAACCTGGAACATCACATCAGAAAAGATCACTTCAAGATATTTGAATACAAATGTTACTTTCCAGACTGCCAAAAGGCTTTTGTAATGAAGGTAAGGGGATTTGATTTGACTGAAGGTGATAGAAGTGTAATTAAAATGGTATTTTAAATAAGTGAATCAATATTGAGGTTTGGTTATTTTTTGGGACCTGGACAGCATTGAAGCAAACCTATTAATAAGTTGGTGTGAAGCAGTAGGAGCAACGAACTGAATAAAGTAGAGAACAAACAGCAACACTTCAGTAAGGTGAAGTGGCTATTTTGCTATATTGCTGGGGAGGTGCTTTTGATGGCATTGATTTTTGTTAAATTCCAAAGTCAGATATCTGACCAGCTGCTTCCTGGATTTTAAGCTGGGTTGGACATTGAATGATGTCCATCTTGGGGCCTAACTTGTACCCACTTGAAAGTGGAAGGGTGAATAATTGTGGAAGTTTGCATTAGCAAATATACAATGAAATGCATCAACCAGGCAAAGTTTGCATTATATAAATGTTTGAAATACAGATGTTTAATCTACTGGCTGACTTTCTGGCTCACCAGTGTAGTCCCATATCACTATTTATTAATATCTTAGCTTTGCATACATTTAAACTGAGCACCTATAGTACTTGAGTAGATAATTTCAGAACTCCAAATATTGCAACAGCCATACAAACTTTCTGTCTCAACTTAGACCACAGTATTCCATAATGTTCTTCATTAATTTCTTGCTGACACATAGGAATCCTCTATCTCTTCCTTCAGTTGGGCAACATTTCCAATAAACAGTATTCTCCAAGGGAGAATATTGTGAATATGGACTTAAAAGTAAGCAGCAGCTGACAGCTTCATGCTGCAAACTCCCTGAAACACAAATTAAACAGGACTGGAACTGTTAAGCATTCACTTCACTATTGATAAGCTTATGGCTACAACATCATGTGCAACTTTTATTGCAGGTTGACTGATTCTGCAGGGGGAATTAAGCTCTGATATCTTAATGAGTGGTATTTCCTTTAAGCTGAAAACAATCTTAAATATAAAAGATTGGCATGTTGCTCATCACTCAATTTTCTCTTTTAGGAAAGTCTTCACCGCCATCTTGTAGTGCATGATCCTGAGAGGAAGAAACTAAATGTAGGTCACTTTAAATTTTCACTGTGGTTGAGGTTTTCATTTAAGGCTTTGACACCTTGTTCAATTCCATTCACTTGAATGGAAGAGTTTCATTAAAATAGTTGAAGGTGTATTAAATCTCTTGACTGCCAAACTTAAATTGATGGATTTTACTGTCATCCAGGGTCTGGGCTCCAAAAAAGATGTTTAGTTTTTGAGCTGCTGCCTAATTCTATTTACCATTGATCCCTTGTGCATTCAGCCTCTTTCACTATTGATCCATGTCAGAATATCATCTTTGAATTGCACTTGAAGCCATTCAAGCTGTTGCACTTGAGCTAATACACCTGCCCTGTTATTTCCTCATCATCCCCTTGTCAATCCTCTGCAATTCTCCCACCCTCTAGAACCATCCCAAACAGATTTCTGGCCTAGCAATTTTGCTGTATGAAGAAATTTGATCAGCTGGGTGACAGTCATGTTTAGAATGACCGAGGATACAATGTAAACCTATAATCGAGAAAGGGTATATGCAGAAAGGAGGTACCCATAACCAGGGAGTCAAGAACAAAGGCCCATGCTCTAAAGATATGGGGTAGTCCACTTAGTTGAATTTAAGTTTCTCTTTTTACTGGGATGTGGATGTTGCTGGCCAGCCAGCATTAATTGCCCATCCCAGGTTGCCTTTGAGGGTGGTGATGAGCTGTTGTCTTGAACCATTGCAGTCCATCTGCTGTGGGTTGAGCCACAAAGCTGTTAAGAAAAGAATTCAATCATGAGCCTGTAGCATTTTCTGCCACAAAGCACTTAAGGCCAATGCTTTGAAGGTTTAAGGAGTTTAATAGTTCTTGGGGCTAAAGGGAATCAAAGGATCCAGGAGAAAGCAGGAACAGGGTACTCAGTTGGATGGTCAGATGTGGCTGTGTTGAATGGTGGAGCAGGCTCAAAGGTTGGTTTATTCCAGTTTCTGAATCTGGAAAAGCATTCCACATGTCAACAGTTTTTTTTTCAAACTGTTCACATGGACTCAAACATGGATGAATTGGGCAAAACTTCTTAATTCTTCAGTTCCTAGGATGTCCTCCAAACTAGATGGTCTTAATTATTTGTGCTCAATGTTTTTCTCCAAATGCCTTCTCTCATCCTCCCAAGTATAAGGAGTTCATGTATCTTTCACTAAGACTGGCCATCTGTATTGGTATGCCACTTAATACACTAAGTTATTGCTCTGATTCCTGTCACCATTTATGGTTTTTTAAAAAAAAATCCTTTGTCTTGTGCAGTAGAGGAAAAATCACTTGGTGTCTTGTAGGTAGGTTATTGCATGTTAGCTTGGTTACAGATTAAATTGATATGATGGACACTGGAGCAAGTGGTAAGTGTCTCCTTTTGATCATAAGTTGTCCTGCCCACAAATGTGGACACAGTAAAAGATTCTTGCAGGGGGACAAGATGTTACTTTGACTTTAACCATCTGCAGTAATGTGGGTCATACTCCTGTAATCAACCAATTGCAGTAATTCAACAATAGACTTTTTTTACTCAGTCCTTGGATTATTGTTCATCAAGCCTTATACTAAAGGCCTGAAGGAACTCCAACTGTTATCCAAGTCATGTTGTGGAAGCTGGTACAATTACAGCTAAGAGGCATCTGGATGGATAGGAATAGGAAGGGTTCAGGGGATATAGGCCAAATGCTGGCAAATGGACTAGATTAATTTGGATATCTGGTCAGCATGGATAAATTGGACCAAAGGGTCTGCTTTTGTGCTGTACAACTGACTCTATCTAGCTTCTATTTAAGTAAAAGTTGAAGCTCTTGCCCAAATTCTACTTTACCACCCCCATGCTCAGCGACTTCCATTTTGCTTCTAGTTAAACACCCCCTCTAATTCATGTACTTTCAAATCAAGCCTGGTTTGCTTTGTAGTCTCCTGCCCCACAATCTGCCAATATCTGTCTAACTGTAGTCTTTTGAGCTTTGATTCCAATTGCTCCACCATTTAGAATGCCATACCTTTGGGTCAAACTTCAGGTGGAATTTATTTTTCCTTAACATATCCAAGTTTTGGTGACTGTCCCAATGCAAATCCAGTGATTTTTAAATACTGCTATATACCTTGGTGAGATTGGTAAAATATTCATTCTTCTATCTTCCTATTGTGTTCCCAGGGATCACTCACTCCTCCCTCTAGCCACATTTTGCCTTTGGGTGTAGAATAACCAGATGCCTGTTCTATGAAAATATTATTTGGGACCTTTCCTCTTGTCATGTACAGTCCTGCACACTAATAGCAGTAAAAATTATTGCCTTGTCCATTTGATTCTAATTTGTTTGTTTGGATCTACTGTATAATTTGGAATAAATCATAATTGCAGATCAATCACAAATGTAGACAAAAATGGCGTCCAGACCAGAGGAACCTGGTGATTGAAGAGAAACTGACCAGACTGTTCAATGAGAAACAAATTTTCAGAGCAAAAAGTAAAATAGAGAGTGACCTCTCTGGTCTCTTTAATGAGCGTAAAATTACACATCCTGTGAGTAATGAAGTCAATCTTTCACGACTATTTGAAAACCAACTGCTTTTACAAGAAAAATAGTTTGAATTTCTTTCCAATAGTACCTTAAGTGATTTTTAATTTTGTAACTGATTTACCACCGATCTTGATGTGCAGTTGTGCCTTTTTACTTTAGGTTTTGAAGTTTGAGATGGTGGTATTTTGATTTGGATGTTAGTGTTTTAGTATGAAAAGTGAGTCTTATCACTTGAACTTTGTCTAACTTTTTGAATTTGCAATTGCTTGAGGAAATTTCTTGAAGTTTGCTTTAAGAATGTAACTTCAGTGCTTTGGTGTGCCTCTGCCTCCATGTCTAGGCAATCTTCCTGTACTAAAGGTTGCAAGCCATCCTCCTGGTGTTTTTATGGCTGTTTAAAAAAAAAAAAAAATTAAGCTGGAGTATTCTGGCAACTGTTTCTTTGAGGGGAAAAAAATTGAATCCAGTATGGACTGAAGATGTGCTGAAATGTAGTCTGATCTGTTTGTTTGGCTTAGTTTTTTTTTCAACTTTCATAAGTAGATACATGGCCTCTCTTTCAGGAAGTGTTACATGAATACTTCTAGGTGTAACTTAGTTTTTAATTTGTCAATGGCTTGCATTAATTAGTTATCCCAAATTCACCTTTGGAGGTGGTGGGCTACTTGACTTTGTTAACACAGTACAGGATTCTTCATTTGAGGCAATGGAAATGTTGGTTTCAGATTGATTTCACATGGTCTTGGACCCATATTGGAGTGTGTCAAATATTTGAGCCAAGGGTGGCTTGATTTAATTTGTTATAAACTGAGCACTCCTGTTTATGTTAATAAATGCATGAACTGAAGTTTGGTTTTTATTTCTGTATTTAACTAACCATGATAAACATCCAATCCAAAGATCTTTGACTTACCTCCAGCCTAGTCTCATGGCCCATAATGAAATGAACACCAGGCTACAAACTGACAAAGCTGCAACACTCACCATGTTACTGTTTTAGGAATACTTCTAACTTGCAGAAGGACAGCATTTTCATTAAGTAACTTAGTTTCAAACTTGGTTGTGGTCTGCCCTGCTTATGGTCACTTTTTTCCTCTGGAAAAAGGTTACTTGCCAAATTAAAGGGGCCAACTCCAATGTTGATAGTTTAGTGGTAAGTTTAAATCATCATTTTATTAAACACCATGGAATATCTGACCTTGGGAGCATAGCTCCTGATGCCTTGGGAATTTGGGCTTATTTTGCTGCTGTTAAGCTAATAGTCCAGAAGTCCAAACTGACTACACTTGGGCCCACCAACTTATTACAAAACTCATGGCACAGATTTGCAAACTTCTACTAATTGATTTTTGACCAGCTGAACAGTCTGAGACATACTCAACTATTAACAGATCATGGTTTCCATTGTGCAGGTGGAATTGTATGCGTGCAAAGTAGATCCACCTGAGGTGGCAAGTTAGTGTGACCCTGTATCCTGGATTTGCTAACCTTTCTGCAGTGTACTGGCTTCAAATTTGCACCATTACAAGACAATAGAGGGAGCTGCAGGGCCACTATTGCAGCTTCTATCTAACCTCAAACTTGATTGCAAGTCCATGTTTGGCCATCAATGTTGTGCAGATAATGTGTGGAAATGTCCAGCTGCATAACTGATTCACCAACTGCTTATTTATCAAGATTTTCTGCTTATTGAATGCCTAGCTCTACTTTCTCTAGTGCTGCCTTCCTGAAACTTAAAGGAGTTTAAGATTACATGAATTTCAGTATTGGTGCCTGAACTAGTTTAAAATTGCATAGCTAGGTCACTGTTTGGAATTCTTCAGAATTTGCAACTGATGTCATGGAATTGGAAGATAAATTCTAACAGCTTCTGTCTCAAATCTATTTATCAATTATACCCATATCACAAACATTCACTTTATAGTTATAAAGCAGCCTCAGGCTGGCCAAATAGCAAGAATGCTGGGTACATTGGCCAAGTAAAACTCTGAAATCACAATATCCACAGCAGCCAGGTGCTAATGACATTAGCATAATATAGAAGGCAACAGCCACCCCAACAACTTGTGCACTAAACAAGGGAAACCCAGACAAAGGCACTGTTCTGCTACATAAAGAAACTTGAAAGTAGACTGCCATTTAAATGATTGACTTGTTTCAAACTGTGCCTTCTATAATTGGTCAAAACTAAAGTTTCAGAAAACAATCTTAAAAAGGTATTTAAAAACACTTCACCTGCAAACCTCAATCTCCTGAGGAGACCAGCATGGTGAGAGGCAGAGACTAGCTGACCAGAGGGAGAAAGCAGCTATGCAGAGCTAGTGTCTGTGAATTTACAGGTTGACTTGAAGTATTCCAACAATAAATGTTGGATAGCATGTTTTAGTATTAGAAATTATTGTAAATTTGTTCCAATAAAGTGGATGTTTTGTTTTACTAATGGCTTGTGTTCATATTTATTTGACCTGGAATCACAGGACACTAGGCAAATTCATTCATAACATTCTGGTTGGATTTTTAAAAAAAAGCTGCAAAGAGGAACCAGATAACAGTTAAATCCTATTAAACTAAATTGTCCCTTTAGTTTTAATTGGCTTCAATTTTTATTGGCCTCCCAGTGAAGCCTTTGTTCTTTCCCTTCTGGAATTTAAGACAGCTGACAGTACAATAGTTAACCACACTTCAGACCTCATTTTCTTGATAGATTGTATGCCTGCTCTTGTACAGGGCTTGTTTAAGTCTGTTCCTCTAGTGATTAAGCTTGTTTATGCATCAAAATTGGTTGGTATTTCTGGAGTTAAGTCTAGACCTCAGATTTGAAGAGATCTAAAACTAACTTTATAGCAGCTTTATTGAGTTTTTTAAATCTCACCAGGCACTGCTTAGTGAATTGCTATTGGTTTTTTCTCTGCTCCCCTTACCCACTGCATTACACAATATTTTGCAGAACAGTCCTTCACTTGATCATTCTGTGACCTCATCAATACAACATTGATATTCACCATAAGTTGTCTTATCTTTGTGTAATGTGTTCAAATTGGTATTGTGCCACCTGACACAACACTCCCATCCTGTAATTAACCCAGCAGCTCTAGGGTGGGACCAACCCTACATTACATTGAAGATTCCTCCCTGCATTTTTAGTTTAAGGAAACAGGACAGGTGAAAATTCCAATTCCTGATCCCTACTTCAGTGGGGTAGTGGGCTAGAAATCCAGCCCTAAGATTTGTTGCAAGTTAGTTTAAACAAATTTCCCAGTTGACCTGTTTTGGAATCTGGCTTACCAGCATGGATCAGGTTCCAATTGTTAGATTTTATCAAGTAGCCTTGAGTACTGTGCAGTTCTGGGCATCCTGTTATAGGGATGATATTATTTTAAACTTGAGGATGCAAAAGGTTTACTGGATGTTGCTGGGACCAGAGTGTGAGTTAGTGGATAGGCTGGGACTTCATTCATTGGAGCAGAGGAGGTTGACAGGTGACCTTTTTCAGTTTGAAATGAGGGGTGTAGATAAGGTGAATGTCAAATGTTTTCTCTCTAGGGTGGGAGTTGCCCCTTGTCCTTTTCTTAACCACAGCTTGTGTGGAATTAACTGCCAGCAGAAGTGGTTTAACTTCTAAAAGACATTGGGATAAATATAGAATAGCTTCCCTGCAGGCCATTCACCCTATCAAGTCCATACAGACACTTTGGACAGCATCCCAACTAGATCCACCTCTCCCTGTAACCCTGCATCTCACATGGCTAATCCAACAAACCTGGACACCATGAGCAATTTCCCAGGCCAATCCACCTAACCTGCACATCTTTTGAACTTGGAACCAGTGGAAACCCACATGCACAAGGAGAATGTGCAAATGCTGCAGTTGCACAAAAGGGTGGAATCCAACCCAGGTCCCTGGTGCTGTGAGGCAGTGCTAACCACTGCCACTTTAGAGCCTATATGAATAGGAAAGGTTTGGATGGATATGGGCCAAGCACAGGCAGTTGGAACCAGTTTAGTTTGGGAACATGGTTGGTACAGACTGGTTGGCCTGACCGGCTGTTTCCATGCTGTATGACGGACTCTCAAACAACTGAATTATGAACTGTTGACAATCTCTACTCAAAACACCAGCACTCAAACTCTCCTCCTAAACAGCTAGATGCAAAAAAAATACTGAAGGCAGCCAATGGACTCTGCCCCAAGCTTTGTTGAGTTGATCCTTTCAACTTGCCAGGAACTGCTGCCCTTCCATCTCTTTAGATCCTTGCACTCGTAGGAGGCAGAGTAACTGGTCCTGACCCGAAATGTCAGCTTTCCTGCTCCTCTGATGCTGCCTGGCCTGCTGTGTTCATCCTGCTCCACACTTCTCTCTGACTCTAGCATCAGCAGTTCTTATTATCTCTGGCTCAACTTTAATGTTCTATTTATTTAAAAAAACAATAGCACTGAGGGAAAACAAATTGGCTTCAGGCCCATTAATCTTTTTCTCTGCAGTTTTTAAAAAAAAAAAACTGTTGGCGGTACAAAGGTTTCTGGTTATGTCCTTAACATTCATAAGCTGCCCAGCTACAGCTACCTGATACACAATTGTATAGTTGCTGGCAGGCAGAAGGCCTGTCATCACTCTGTAGAAGAGTGACCAGTTAATCAGCAGCCTGTTGCTGGTTGAATTTCATTTTGTACAGCACCTAGTGTCAACTAAACCCCGCTGGTAAAACAGCCTGTGGGGTAAATGACACTTACAGAAAGTGCTGGTAATTTGCTTTTCAAGTGCAGAAATACCTTTTATACAGTTGTTTTTCTTCCCTACCTTTGGTCTACAATCAAAAATACAAAAGCGTTTATAAATGTCTTTAGATGTTAAGCAAGTCAGGCAAGACAAGGGAAACAATTGATTTTTTTAAGACTGTCCTGTTCCTTTTCCCTGCTGTCCCCCCTCTGTTACTAAGTGGTGCTGAGTTCAGAAGGAAGCCATTGTGCTTCTGTCACTGTTATGTGAGTTTTTAACTGGATGTTTTCAATCTTGCTACTTCCTGCCAATAGAACAGTTCTCATTTACAACTAGACATCTAATTTTTTGAAAGTTAACTAAAGCATATTTGTTTGTTTCAAATGTCCCTTTTGAATTGATTAAAGGAATATCACTCCAATTGAACTGCTGGCTCAGCTCTTGAGTTTGAAGTTCCAATCTTTATGATATTTGCCTGCAGCTCCCAATTTTCCTTCTGAAAGGTCAGTTCTGATTCACATTCAACCACCAGAAATTTTTCTAAATAGAATAGAATCCCCACAGTGTGGAAACAGGTCCTTTGGCCCAACAAGTCCACACCGACTCTCAGAGCATCCCACCCAGACACACGCTCCCCCCACCTAATCTACACATCCCTGAACACTACAGGTAATTTAGTACGGCCAATCCACCTAACCCGCACATCTTTGGACTGTGGGAGGAAACCGACGCAGACACAGAATGTGCAAACTCCGCACAGACAGTCGCCTGAGGGTGGAATCAAACCTGAGTCCCTGCTTCTGTGAGGCAGCAGTGCTAACCACTGTGCAGAGATATGGATGCTGGCAATCTGACAAAGGGTCTCCGGTCTCAACACTTTACTCTGTACAGAATCTGCCAGACCTATTGTTACACTGGAAACTTTCAGTTCCTTTGTACAAGTGTTCTATACCCAATAGTTAAGGAATCAGCCAATGACTGCAGTGGTGATTGGCTGTAATTTTGGAAAGTGAGGTTGTGTAAGGTGCTAGAAATGAAACTTTTGGTATCTTGAATCTTGCTATTTGACCCTTTGTTAAGGAGAGAACTTTTTTGGAAATCCTGAACTGGAGTAGGAGAGTGAAATTCCA